TACCATGATTGATCATGGTGTGGCGAGAACCGAGAAGTCCACGAGATTAGTCTCTAATCGTCTCGGCTTTATAGAGGTAGACGTTGAATTTCTCTTACGTGAAGACACGACATCTCTGATAGCTTTGCGAAACACTCCTTGCTCTATCAGTGGATTATTTTGTTGATATTACTAAAAGAATACTTATTTTGTAATGGCAACCAAATTTTACATTGGTATTTACAAAACGTGAGTAACCGAATAAATTTGTACTGTTAAATAAAAAAATTTTGTTTGTCTTACAAAAAAATATTGTATTTTGTAATTTTAACAAAGTAATCCAATAATAATCGGCCATTTGTGAATAATTCTCTCTTTTTGTTATCAATACTATATCTTTTCTCTCAGTGCATTTCTTCATTATTTATGTACTGAAAAAATATAGGCATTTCGAAGTGCATGTTTTTTTAACTAGAGACAAACAAAATGCATTTGTTGAAAATTTTTTCCAATTATTTAGCAATTTTGTTTAATAATACATCCTATAGATTGATATACCCAAGTAGAACAACAAGTCATTATGATATCAAAATAATGTTAAAATGACTCCAAAATGATCATTAAAATTCATTTTTCAATCATTTACGATTCATTTTAATGTCATTTTGACGTTGTCGTGACTTATTCTGCCTGAATATTATTATTCTCTGTGCGTTTTCTTGTGTGTGTAGTTTCTTTCTTTCTCGTTTTTTGAAAATTACAAATTTTAGAGAAAATACATTTTGAAAGTTTGCTCCTTTCAAATAATGTTAAACAAACATTAAAAAAAAACTTTTCTTTAAACCGTATATATAATCCGAGCAAGCTATCAATTGAAATAAATATTAAATAAATATTCTATTAACGGCATTTCAACTGAATAAATAATATAAAATAAACATTTAATAAATGTTAAATAAATGTTTAAAAAAGGTTTTCTTAAATCATTGTTTCAAATGAATAATTAATGTAAAATAAACATTTAATAAACGTAAAATAAACATTAAAAGAATGTTTATTGAAATAATTTTCTCACATAAAGAATTCATAAAAATTAAATATTTAAAAAATATTAAATATACTGTTAAAAACGTTTTCTAGAAATTGTTATTTAATAAAAAAATATTAAATGAACGTTAAATAAATACTTTTTTCAGAAATGAGTTGAGGAAATGAATAATTAATAAAAAAGACATTAAAGAAACATTCAAAGAATATTGTCTGTTGGGACGTTATTCTCTTAATTTTTGATCGTTTCCATTCTTATTTTTTTAAACATTTCTTTAATATATTTCTCGGGCGTGTCTGTTATCTGGAATAAAGATAAGCAATGTTATTCTCTGATAACTTTATATATTATAAGAAATAAATAAAAGCAACTTTGTTTTATTAGCAACATAAATTTACAGAATTATTTGAGAGAGAAACAAATAAACACACAAAAAATATAATAAAAATAGAGCCAATAAAAATTAATATTTTATTAGATTTATGCTTATCAAATACAAAAATAGAAAAATAATATTAGAAGGTTTTTCTTTTATTATATGCTTATTAGTGTTTATTTACTTCTCTGGAAAAATTTTTTTTAATTTTGCTAACAAAGCAAAGTTACTTTTATAGAAAAGTCATTTCACTCATAGAGCCAAAATGTATCGTTAATTTAACAAACACGTCTTGCTATAATAGCAAATTTGATTCGATCACACAGTTTAAATAAATTATTCGTTAAACGAAACCATTTTGCTAGTTTTGCAAATGAGTTTTGCTAATGTAACAAATTGCATTGCTAATGCAATAAAAAAGCTTAGTTAATTAAACAAAAATTAATTTATCCTTACAGCAAAATAATTTGCAGTTTTAGCTAAATTATATACATCAAATAGCAATCAGTACTCTAAACGAATCTTTTTGCTGTCCATATATTGACAGATTTTGTTACGGCAGCATAAAATCTGCTGTGCTAGTAAATTATTTTTCTTCGTGTAATAAGCATCTGGACATTTGATTAGCGTTCAATTAGTACTGTTTGTTTCAGTTAAATAATGAGTGCATTTTCTACGAATATTATTGAAATAGGATAATGGCTCAGTTGACAGAGGACTCTACAAACAACAGCACCAGTTGCTGAATTCTCTTTTGAGTTATTAAGAATCCACGTATTTAAGACTAAACTAAAAGATGTATTAAATGACGAAAAGTCTATAATAAAAATATATTTGGAGTCAGTAAGTATAAAAATGTTTTACAGACTTTAATTTTAAATTCATGTACAAATTTCACGCACTTTCTTTTCTATTTTATTAGCTAAGATAATAGTACAAATCGCATTCTATAAAAGAATATTAATGAATTATCAACGTGAAGTCTTATCCTTAAGAAATATATAAATAAAGATGAGTAAAAGTCGTTAATTTTTGCCTTCAACTGGAAAACGAATTATGTATGTTTTTCTATAGTTTTCAGGCTGCAGAATCACATGGTATAATTAGTTTTCTATAAACATAAAAATGTGAAAGAAATATGAATATGTAAATAAACATGAATATGCAATAAAAATAAGATACACAACGATCTTTTTTAACATTTTACCCATCGAGAATCAACAAATTTATGAGATTTTACTATGATAGAGTAGAAATAGAGAAGAAATTGTTTGTTTTCAGCACACGGAAACTCGGAAAGTGTAAGACAAAAGCAGATACACGTGCTTTGCACGTCATCTTCCCGCTTTCTTGAATTCCACACTCTTAAACCCCAGACCCAAAATCTGAGACAGTCAGTACCAAGACTTTCAAGCCCCATGTCTTTAAACTTCATACTCATAAACTCTAGGACCTTTAAAACTTATCTGTAAACTTCAGACTTTTAAATCTTAGTGTGAAAACCTAGACAATTCAACGTCATATGCATAAATTCTAGACTTATAAGTATCAGACACTTAATGACAATTTAATCATCAATACTGTTATGATTGACCTTTTATGTCAATTCTACTCATACCGTCGTCATTAGGGTTACCCGATGTGCACCACGGGAAGATGGTACGATCGAAGTTTACATATAATTTAGCCTTGAATAGGGCCAATTCTAATAATAAAATTCGTATTTTGAGAACGGCGATTATACAGGGTGTCCTAAAAAGGTCGGCACACCTAAATATCTCGGGAAATATAAATTTTACAGAAAAGTGTTTCAGACAAAAGTTATATGGTTTAAAAATATCTATTTACTGATCCTATCAGTTTGACCTTGAGTTGCGTAGCCAAGGTCAGGTCAAGGTTACATTGATTTTCTGAAATAGAACACCCTATTTTTGATTCAAGAATCTAATAGCTGATGTCGAGAGCTTTCCAAAACACCATAATGAAATATTTTTTTATGAAGTACTTTTCAAGTTATAATGCTTCAAAGTTACAGTATCGCCGGCATTAGCATTACCCAAAATATTTAATTTT